TCCAAGGGTGGGGGATAGACAGCTGCCAACTCTCTCTCTCTCTCTCTCTCTCTCTCTGTGTGTGTGTGTGTGTGTGTGTGGTGTGGAGGGTAATTCCGGCTATCTCTGGCCTCCGCTCGGTTTTAAAGTCGCTTGGCCGGTTCCCAAGTCGCAAGCGCGCGCTGGCCGGGAGACGCGGCGCCGGGTGGCAGCTCGGTGCAGGGGAGGCGGATCTTTCTCTCTTAAGTGAGGAGGGGACAAGAGGAGGGATGGGACGGGACAGGGGGTGGGAGGAGGTCCCTCGCCTTCTTCCACCGCCCACCGGACCCTTTTCTTCCCAAGGGGACCCTGGAAAGCAGCTCGGGAGCCGGGTGGCCCTGCCCAGCGGGGTCCCATCAGGAACTTCCTAAGGACACCTCCCCCCGCCCCAAGCACAGCCCTCCCGGTCTTTCAAAGAGGGAGGGAGAAGTGGGAGGAGCAAATTGCCGCCCCCCGCCCCGCTGCCCAGAAGGAGGGGCGCCACAGTCCGCCCCCACCACCTTCTCCCTCCCACTCCCCGGGCCATTACGCGGCTCGGGGCTGGCTGGGCGAAGTGGCCCCGCCAGAGACCCTCCCGCTCCACCCCCACCCCACTTCCAGATTGGCCTCCGCAAGCGCCCCGAGCCGGGCGGAGGGTGGGGGGGGGAGGAGGAGGAAGAGAGACTCCGGCTGGGCTTGAAGGGGCTTCGCAAGTTGCGGAGCCCCGCCCCCGTTGCTCTTGCACCGAGTGACAACATATTTACCGGCGTATAAGACGACCCCCCCACTTGGAGGCATGTTTTTCAGGGCAAAAAAGTCGTCTTATACGCCGGCAAATACGGTATATTCATACAGATCACAATAATTGGTGATATTATGGTTGGATACATGTGTTATATGTGTACTTAAATAAATAGTGGTTTAATGTTATACATTTCAGCATATGCCAAGGAATCATTATGATATTGCCAGAATATTATCTTAATCCTAGAACAATCCCCTTCTTCCTCACAGAAAAGCTTCGACTGCTATCAGTCTTACTAAAGGATAACATTATGGTCATCAGAATTAACTGGAAGTACAGCTGAGGAAGAATATATTTTCTCACAGCCCTAGACTGTTGGCGGGTTGCTGAATGCAAAATTAAGCTCAAATCAGTATCACCCAAAAAAACTGAGCCATAGTCTCTATTATATGTAGCTATATAAATTAATCAGTACCAAAAGCTCAGGTGTGCATTATAAATCACAATGGGAACTATGAATCAACTCTATCCAACTACTGACTGAAGCAAGTAACTAAATGACTTACCTTTATTAAAAGATAAATAATTTATTATGGCAAATTACCACTTTACTACATATTACAACCAATATCAATTTCAATTTTGCATACATATGGTTTTTTTAAGAAGGACAACATGATTGAACCATAGTCTTGTAATGTAACTTCCATACCAGGATTATGATTCCATTTTTCCAAGTGTTTAAATCCATATAGAAATGACTGACATACAACCAGTTAAATCTCATCAAGATAAATTACTAAAATAATTCACCCCTTCATCATTAAAATATGTATAAGCTTCACAGAACCATGTAATTCATAATTTCACTAAACATCATTTAAAATAATTATTAATGTATTCAACTGGGATAAACTTTTAGCATGAGCATTTTCTCAAGTGCCAAGATCTTCAAAAGCATAACTAACCAAACTTAATGGCCATAATTTTCCTGCTTTAAACATATTTAAATATTTCTATAATATTTAGCTGTCAGTATTTAGTTATGCAGGAAGCAAAACATCCCAAAACTATTTAAAAAGAGATTCCTTAATTATCAGTTGATACTTCAGCTGACATGAATAAAAACCTGCATTCGTGCATTGTCCTTTTTAGATAGGAAAATATTATTGTAAATAAGTTTATCATCTTGATTAAACATCATATAGTCACTGATTTACCAATATTTTATTAACTAATCGATTAAAAATATAATATAACATAATTAAAAACATTAATGTTAGCTACAATTATTAAATAAGATTAAGATTCTCCAAAAATATAGAATCAGTAGATCCATTTTATCAAATTATTCTATCATATTTTATCAACTATCAACCCCCTGACAAATAATATTCAAACATACTTAGATCAGATAATATGCAGTTCAGTTTCAACAAAAGCTACATTATTTATCTAAATTAAATGAAGATTTCTTGTACTCGATCCAGAATTTTTTTTTCTAAGATGCATAAATGGCTGTTTCCTAAATAAACTTTTAAACTTAATAACATTTATTACTTGAATTCAAAATCCTTATGTAGTAATAAATATTATTACATTTGAAATGTGTAAATTTTCAATTATGTCTTTTTCTGCTATATGACACCCAGAGTTACTGTGTGTTAGTTGGATGGCCATTTAAATTTGTTTAATGAATAGTAAGTTTTTTTAGAAAACACTCATTTCTTTTTCTTGACTGATGCATTTGTCATTTATTTTGTGAAGATGTTTTACACTTCGATGTTTTTATGCTAAAACATGTAGCCATTATGTATTACAAAGAAATGAATTGCAAGTGTTTTATAAGATTGGCAAATTTAACTTTAAAGTTCCACCTAACTTGAGAAGTGAATAATTCTGCAAATAATGCAAAATATATATAGCCAACCCAAAGCCAAAGTCCAAAAGAGTAATGTTTTTTCAGAAAATAGAATATACTACTTTAATGTTGTCGACAATACTCAGAAAATTAAATCCTCAAGCAGACTTTAAGAATAGCAAAGCACTTAGACTTATCTACCACTTCACAGTGCTTTACAGCCCTCTCTAAGTGTTTTGCAAAGTCAGCATAAAGCCCCCAATAATATGGGTTTGGAAGGATGGAAGGCTGAGTCAACCTTGAGCTGGTAAGGATGGAACTCCTGCCTACAATACTGCATTTCCACCACGCTTCGTAACAGGAAATAACTTCTTTGCTTTAGAGAAGTTCAGACTTTGCACAGTGCTATCTTAAAACAATTTATATTTGATAGCATCTGTAAAACCAGAAACTGTTCTCCACTTTAACAGCCTGACTTGAGCTTAATTCTGCATTCAGCTTTTTTTAGATTTAATACACAGTCTATTTGTCTTCCTTAACATAGAGAGGAAGGGAATTCTGAGTGTGACCTCTAAACCCAAAGAGTTCATTCACACAAAGTTTATCTGGGCTAATTTCAAAAAGCTAAACACATCAGGTTAGATCAGGATACAAGCTGAATAGAATACATCAAGAAATACTGGGCCTATGAGCTAGAATGAGAAGTTGAAAAAATATAAGGCAATGGCAAAACACTGCCACACTTTTTCAGAAAAAAATTACATGTCATGTCCATAAAGTTGTGAGTTGAGTTAAAACACAAAATATTTTTCTTTTATTGTACTTTAGAAATAGTATAAATAATTAAATTAAAACAGGGTTGCATAGGTCCACTTATGCATATAAGATTGACCCAGCCTTCCATCATTCCAAGGTCGGTAAAATGAGGACCCAGATTGTTGAGGGCAATATGCTGACTCTGTAAACCACTTAGAGAGGGCTGTAAAGCACTGTGAAGCGGTATATAAGTCTTGAGCTATTGCTATAAGACCATCAGAATGACATAGAATCCATGAATCTAAAACATCATTCAGAATCTAATTTATGCTGCCACTCAGTTAGCATACAACTATCTTCATTATCCAGCAATGAAACAATGAAGCTTGACTTTTACGGAAAAAAACATACAGAAAATGAAAGTGGGAATACATATCATTTGCCACCAAAAAGACACATTACTGTGTATATTATAAGTAAGCAGTTTTTCCTAGTTTACACAGTACTGTATCAATGGAAACTTCTTCCATTTATGTCTAAATGTTAGAGGAAAAGGAGTAAAGGAAGAGCAAGCAAATGTATATATTGATGAGAAAGAAAACAATTCTAGCAAGAGCTTACTGGAAGTGGTAGTAGGGGAGAATTGATAACATTGTTAAAGAGTACAGCACTGTATTTGCAGATACAAGAAGACTGAAAACATAATGCATTCAAAGGTAGGCAAGCACAGCTGGATGCAAGAGAAAGAATGAAGAGATTGTCTCCTATCTTTACTGTACTGAAAATTTCTGGGTACAAATCAGTGGTGGGATTCAAATTTTTTTCACTACCAGTTCTGTGGGCGTGGCTTGGTGGGCGTGGCAGGGGAAGGATTCTGTAAAATCTCCAGTCAGAGGTGGTATTTGCCAGTTCTCTGAACTACTCAAAATTTCCACTACCGGTTCTCCAGAACTGGTCAGAACCTGCTGAATACCACCCCTGGTACAAATCCCTATTCATGAATGGAGATTTTAACTTTAACAAATCACTTTCACCCTAACTGATTTCACAGAGCTGCTAAGAAAACAAAATGGAGAGTTCTCTGTATACATTTCATTAATTAAACATCTCACAATAGTAAGCATTCCTGCTGCTTTAATTTATGATGAAGAAAATGCACATAAAGGGTTATTTCTGAAATAGCTGATCACCATGTAGTTTTTTTTTTAACGAAGTATAAGTAATTTAGAAGATAAGCATCTTTTATATTTTCAGCATTTAAGATTAAGCCCTTTTAAAAGATGGATTTTATTTATTATCTGCAAGGGTACCAAGAACATCTATCACCTTTCTAACTCCTTAACAGATACCACCAGAGATCTATACAAATTAAGATACACAAACATTAATCTTGGGGTGTGTGTTTTTTTTCAGAAAAAGAAAAAAAGACATTTGCATCTTACAAAGGTTATTCATCAATTATAATATGCCTATTTAATGTGTAATGACTGTTAATTTTAGTGCTTATTTAAATGTTTCAATATTTCATTAGGTCTCAAAATAGAACTGGTTTTCCAAAATAAGCAAGGCACACTAAGCTAAAATGCTAATAATAATGACTGTGGGAATAATGATTAGGAAAGAAACATTTGTTCCACTTGCCTTCATGTGTTTCCAGTATGTGCATGGTGTCTCCTATTTGTAGTGACAGCTCATCTGGACCCCGGGCATCATAATTATAGAATGCTAAAAGGGAAAAGAAGAAAAAAGGTCATTATTTAAGTATTTTTAAAAATGCCAGAAAGAAAAACACCAAATGAGCAAAAACTTTGCACACACAATTTATAGCCATTACTGTGCTGACATGGTTGAAAGCACTCTAACCAAAGCAAAGTCTCTCCAACATTTATTTATTGAATTCATACACTGCCCATTTCACTACCTAAGCAATTTTGTAAAACGAAGTTTAAAAAAGGCAAAGGATACCAGGTTGTATATGTCCGTCCTGGGTAATGCTGTGGTTGCACTGCCGTAGGCACACTCAGTGGATAGTGTGGGATAGGCCCATGGCCACCATGGTAGTCTATGAACTTTCCAGCTGTTTCCAAGATCCACCCTAGATATGGCAAATTAAAGTCCCCCAAGATTTCAAGCCTGGGGAACTCCATAACCAACCCAGAGCTGGCCTCCAGCAGCAGCATAGCTTTAAAAACAGGATTTCACACCAGCAATGTGTGGAGTAGCACTACTGAAGATCAACAGAGATTCCCAAATGACTGCTGCCTTGTCCCTCCTGCCCTGAGGTCTTGGCTGGTGTCATAGCACAAAATCCAGCTGGGCATATTGTAAAGAGATATACTGAGAGTATATCAAGCTTAACTTTCTGTATAGATGAATTCAGCCTGATATATTAATAGTGACTGCTATATATGTTTATACAAAAGTAAGTTCTATTAAGTATCAGGTAAATAGATATGTGAGATCAAATTTGGGCTGGTCACCCGGATCAGAGATTTACTCCTGGGGCATGTATATTTATTTCCCTTTGTTCTTGAAACAGATATGTATTTCCACTAGAAAGTATCAATTGTGCTAGTACTTTCACTGAAAACAATGTATGAAAAATATGTAACAGAAATTAATCTAGTAACTATAAAATGGACCTTGGTAATCTGGAACAGCTCTCCCTTTATACTTTCCCTCATTTGAGGATCATTCAATGATATTTGATTTAGATTACTTTAGATTATTCCCACTTTCAAGAAAAAGGCCACTTTCAAAGAACTCACGGTAATAGCATTGATATAGAGGGCTCTTTCTTCTTTACCTGGTTTCATCTTTAAAAAAAAAATGGGGGAAGAAGCCTTTAGATTTGGGAATGTTAGTAATATGTCTCATCAGAATGCTAAATCCTTGTCACTTAATTCCAAATAAGAGCCTGATAATCTTGAACACTGCTCAAATTATGGATCAGCATGATCAAACTGAAATTAAATCCAGGCAACAATGGACAGTGGATCAATATAAAGCAAGGCTAGAGGATTGCAGTTTAGCTTGTTCTCAACTGAGATCATACATCATGGTATTGTGGGATTTACATGGAAATTACTGTTTCTCAGGGCAGATGTTCATTAGGCCAATATAAAACAAACAAAATGTGAAAAAATATGATATTTCTGTAGTTACTTACCAAGCACATCTAAATTATATTGAAGTAACCAAAAGATCTTTACAATGCCCAAGGCACGTCAAAACTTTGAGCACCCTAATGTTTGGAAATTGAAAGTTGAAAGGGCTGTCAAACTCATGCTCCCCCAGGCTGGATGCATCACACGCTGGCCACACCCATGCCTGGTTTAGCAAAGGAGGAAAAAGTGACACAGCCGTGATGATGCAAGTTTGACACCCCTGCCCTAGGTCAATAATCAACAGTCACCTAGCTTTATGACTGAGTGATTCAAGGCTAAATTGTAGAAGCAGAAACTAATAATTACAACAACAGAAACAATTTGTCTAAGACTGTAGGATTTTCTAAAATTATAGAAGTGCTAAGAAAAAGCCAAAAGTTATACAAATTGGTACAATACAAATAACTCTTATTATCTGATCGCATATCCATAACAAAAACTGGCAGTACATTGCTTGAACTTGTAGACCTCAACATAAAATATTAGTTTCATAAATGAGTCAGTATAAACAGACATATTTGCCTGAGATTATCTAGATTATTGCTACACAGCAATTGAATGCTTAATGGTTCTGCTTTTTGTACATAGCAACTATGTACGAAACATCAAAATCTGTAATATTTGAAATAAACGTATCAATATTTTGAGCTGAAAACAACCATGTATATCCTGAAATTTGGGGGTGGGGAGGCTTTGTATATTTTTTAAAAAAGTTGCCTCTTACAATTGATTTTGTTTTGTATGCATACAAATTTTTAAACTTTTGCTTGTACATTGCTTTTGCTTTTTATTTCTCAGATTATTCACCTGTGTTACTCACAGTGCATACCCCAAAATTGCACGTGATTAATCTGCATTCCACTGATGATGCTGTCCTTCTTTTCTGAATAATTGCCCAATCAGACATAAGAAAAAAATGACAAAGTGTATTTTTCACATGTCACCTATTAGGGAAAAGTCTTTTCTAACTGTAAGCCCAGTAAAGATTGGCAGCATTGTACATGCATATATCCTGCTATTAAATAACCAAAGTTGGGGGCCTGAAGGCTAAAACATATGAAGAACGGTTGCAAGAACTGGGCAGGGCTAGTCCAGTGAAGAGAAGGACCAGGGGTGACATGATAGCAGTGTTCCAATATTTGACAGGCTGTCACCTAGAAATAAGGATACATTTTCTGACAGGAGAATAATCAACCAATGGAATAGCTTCCCTTCAGAAGTTGTGGGTACTTCATTACTGGAAGCAGTCAAGAAGAGACTGGACAGCCACTTGTCATGAATGGTATAGGGTCTCCTGCTTGAGCAGGGTGTTGGACTTCATGACCTACAAGACCCCTTCCAACTCTATTATTCTGTATTCTATTCTGTACTTCTGGATGCCAGTTTTGGTTATAAAAGAACTATAGAGTGTACACTGTAAGGAAGATAACTTACTAGAGATGAATTACAATAATTTGATTAAATTCCTTTATTTCAGTCAGTTTCAGTCAGTGTAGGTTTAAGGGTAGAGCTAGAGCCTGCTCCCTAGACCTCTGCTTTGTGGACTGCTCTCTCTTGCTCTCTTTCCTCTCTGTTCAACATCTACACAAAACTGTTGAGTGAGGTCATCCAATAGCATGTGGTTCAGAATCATCACTCTGCTAATGATAACCAATTAACCCTTGCAACTCCAGGCCAGGCAAGTAAGACTATCAAAGCCCAACCCACACACCTGCAAGTTGTATCAACAATATCCTACTATAATCTGTACCTAGACCAGGTAGTCGGTACAGGTAGTTCCCAACTTACCACAATTTGTTCAAGGACTGTTCAAGGTTACAGCAGTGTTGAGTGAAGGAACTTATGGCCAATCCCCAAAGATGACCCTATCATCATGCAACACTGGAATGTTCTTCCAAAATATCTTGGGTGATTTGTTTCATCAAATTAATTGCCTACCTCATCAGCAAGTCCTTCTCTAAATTGGTCAGAGACAATGCTTTCCATCCCATATTTCTGGCAAATATTTTAAAACCAACATGTATGCCGACATCCTATGCTAATCATGCTTACATTCATTTGCAGGTTTCATGGTTGATGGTCATGTGTCTTTTATGGTTATCGAAGAACTTCTAAAATTCTGACTGAAATTTTGATAATTATCTAGTAGGGGTTCAATATTCTCAATAATAGGTAGGGCCCATTTAGCTCCAACCTTCTCTTTCTACCTTGGCTGGAAGAAATTTTTGTATGGAAGGCTACCTCTATATCCTGTAGTAATCACATATACCAATCAATTGGCTTCTGAAATGAGACACAACCCATTATCAAGCCATAATTCTCTCTAATATAAACACATTTAGGTATTTTTAAATAAACAGGTTATCTAAGAAAAATGAGAATAAACAAATCAAAAAAGTCTGTTTCTTGGAAAAACAACTTCAAAGGTATATACAAAACAAAATATTCAGAAAATAAAAACCTTCTATGGATACTTTTTGACAGCATTCATAATTTTCTTAATGGCTTTAAAAAAAAATAGCTACGTCAGCATTTTCCCCAGTCATTCTCTTGAATTCCTTTCTCTTATCTTCTCACAAAATCATGAAAAGTGTGGCCTGCCAACACAGCTTTAAATTAACATTTGAAATGATGCTTTCTCCCTTTAAAAATAAAACAAAAATTCTCTCTTCTTAGATCATTTTTAGAGAAGCACAAAATTGCTACAGATGTATTTTCAACTGAGTCACTTCCTCATTACATGCACATTGTAACAGAACTATCTTAATAGAATTTCATTCTATACATGCCTTCTCTGGAGCAAGCCATTACTTGCTTCAGAATATTCTGAATTAAAAGTAGTTATTTCAAATACAAGTTTACCTCAAAGCAAGTCCTATTAAATTCCTTGGGGTCAACCTTTGATAAGATTTCACATTAATATATCAGCAAACTTCCACGAAAGCATGACATTAATGCCCTTCTTACTGTTATAAAAAATATAATCCGCTCATAACACAATAAATCTTATTAAATATTTTTTTCAAAATATAATATTTAAAAGCCATCACAAAAACCAAAAACCTACTATACAATTCAATATGTTGAAACAAACAAAAATACAACACAGAGGCCTATCTAGCCTACCCTTGTTCAACTTGGTCCCTTTTTTGTTGTGTTGAATCATGTCCTACAACTGTCAATTATCCTGGCTTTCCCCTTTTGGTTCAAGATTATGGAAGATGAAGTCCAGCACATTTAGAAGGTGCTAGACTTCAGAAAGCTAATTTAGCTAACAGGAAATATCAGGAAGAACAATAATTCTATAAAATGATAATACACAATTTTTAAGGATGTACATTATTGAATAATGTATCGCTGATCAAAAAACTTTGCTGCTGCCTATCCATAGGGATTATATTAAAGCACTGCAGAATGTTTCAATATACACTTTCCTAAATTATAACACATAAGAAGTACTATACACTATACTGTCCATAGTATTTAGTAGTTGGCAAAAATGTTCCATTTTCAACCTAGACACTGCTATTTCTAACTCTAATATTATTATTTCCAACA